TGGCCTCGGCATTCATACAGCTCCACTTAGCCCTAGCTTGGCAACGCCAGCAGCAGCTCGAGAATGTGTTGAATGCGGCCCCGATACAAAGCCTTTTGACCGATGTGCTTCGTGCTGGGACTTCAGATAACACCCAGGCAGCTGCATCCGGGGCCCAGCCCTCGGTTCAGGACTGTGCGACCGATCTTGCTGCCACAAGAGCCGACCTGGATGATGTTTTGCCTGAAGCCTCAGATGATAACGCGGACCGCCTTGCTGATCTCTCCGCTACGCGGATCACCATGGATGATCTGGGACTACCATGTACTCCTCCGGCAGCGCGGAGCAGCTCGCCGAGTGCCGAAGACCTGGCCTTGCGGTGTCAGCTGCAGGACCTGGAACATCAGGCTCCGGATTCAGGCATGCAGACTGTTGTCTGCGAGCCGACTACACCGACAATGCTTCAGGCAAAGCAGGCTGGTCGCTCTTTTGCTCGCGAGATTCGGCGACTGCAGTCTGCGTCGAATCTGGTTATGCCAGTTACCTATGTGCGTAATAGAGTACCAGAATGCCGCACTACTGCTTTTGAAGATTCTTCGATTTCTGCAGTGTGCAATAATGGTGCTGACACGCGTGATCATACAGCCTGGAGGGTGACTGAGCTCACGGTGCACATGAAGGCAATCGAGACACGGCGCCCGGGTCAGTCTCTTTAGGATGTGTCAAAACGGCACAGTTTGCAGAAAAGAAATTCTGCAACTGGCACACAACAAGACCTCGCAAAAAGAAAAACACGAACCACCAGCTTGCCACGCAATCAAGCACCAACATCCCCGGCAAGCAAATGCTGCCGAAGCACCACTACAACTCCAAGCCCACCCGAACATCAGCCTGCCAGAAACTCAACAAAAAACTGCTACATGAACCTATACACTGCAACGGCGGTTCAACCCATCCATGTGGCGAGTTGGTCCAAGAGTCTCGCTCGTTCGTAGTTTTACCCTTCGCGAGAACTCGACTGAGCACAACCAAAACGCTGGCGGCTCAGATACAACCGAACATGCTCCCAGAATACATACAAGAATGTCAGCGCGCCGAACCAGCCCTAACTGTCAGGACATGGCCACGCAGCGCTCTGAATTGGGACTTCACCTGACACGCAGGCTGTGTCGTGATGTATCGAGACTTACTGCTAGCCCTGTTTCCGAGGCTTTCCAACCTGTCGATTACCCACGCAGCCGCCGGGGCCTTGGCTTCCTATGAGATGCATCCGCCTGCGACGCCAGCTCTGCTCTTCTCTGCAAGAGCAATAAAACCCTTGTGCAGCAGTACTGACACCCACGCAAGCTTCGAAATCTGGCCTCTACAAGTCCAGAAAGGCGTCCTGGGTCTAGGATGTCAAACCCGTACTTCGCTGTCCGAACTATAGCATGTGGCCTGACCACCGGAGGACATTAACCGAGAGAAGCACACCGAGAACGGCAATTCTGCAATGCTCCTCGAGCCGGGAGCAATCATTATTCAAGTAAAAGAATAAGCAATTAAAAGCAAACGTAAACATATCTCCCTGTTCAGACCATTACGAAGCATGCAAGGCAAACCCGCACCATCTTCGTGGACCGGGACTTCTTCGTGGGGCTTTGCACGCCGACAATGCTTCATCCTCGCGAATCCCAGCCCGTCAACTTGACAAGGCTCGGCAGAAACAACCTAACGGCACTCATGCGGCGAGACCGCAACATGGCATCAGACTCCGCAGCACCCTTCCTGGACTACTTCTGGAGCTTACCCCGTGAGGCCTGCGGTGCACCAACTCTTGTCACAAAGGCATTCAAGCACCACTAGAGTCACGAGGTGACAAGCAATATGTGCTTTCTGACCTGACGCAGGACCAAATGACAGCCATTCAAAGAGCCGGTGTGTACGTCTACCCCGACCAGGATGAAGGCTCGGCACACAATGCATCATGCAATACACAGCAAACTTCATCCTCCCCACTGAAACAAGCAACCACGCAGCGCTACCGGACTCGTACCGCGTCGAGACCATTCAACACTACGAACCAAGCGCTCACTGCCTTGAACAAAACACTGTAACAGAGCCCGCTGTTTCCTCAGCGAAGGCATGCCATCGCCAGAGCAAATGGCAGCCACACTGTCTTCGAGTGACCCCGAAGACATCAAAGCTGACCTGGTGCGAGTAATCAACGCCGCAAGCAACAACGCTGCAGAAATCCATTGTAGCTGCATCACTGTGTCACTAATTCTCTCTCGACTCACGCCCAGAAGTAACCACCATCCACCGAAGCCGTCCGAGGCAACTTCCGGCTGGAGCAAGCCATCCAACACAAAGCCCGAGGACCACCACGGCCATCGTTGACACCAGATGCCAAAAGAAGACGAACCGGAAAGGCCAGGGTGAACACTAAATGCAGCGGACGAAACGCCTATCACACCACTTCGCACTCAAGACCACGCCTGTTACACACGCAAAAATATATGCAGATATGTATACAGGCACAGTTATATATATATATACATACATACATACATACATACATATATATATATACATAGATTGCTATTTCTGTGTATGTGCATAAACCTGCACAGATACATTATATATAGACAAAACACCTATGCACACATACATATCCACACACACACACACCTATATATATATATACGTATGTATGTATGTACGTAGTAAACCCGCAGATATATGTACATGCCTATATAAATATAGATATGTATGTACATATACATACATCTGTAGGACGTACATTATATATCACTGATTATACTTACACAGATACATATACATATACATATACGTATACATGTACTTACACATGTACATATGCATATCCATCTGTACACGCATTTACATCTACAGTACACATAAACATATGCATGCACTATGCGTGGGTGGAAAGGTGCCAGACACGGACGTCTTCTTAGCCCCTGGCTGGCATGCAGTCGTCCCTGACCGTTTAAGCTCGTGCGATGCTCAGTCAATCACACCGGTCAAGAAGAACAGCATGCACGCACGGACGAAACCTGCAAGACGACTCTACCAAGGTGCAGAGTCGGCAGAGACCAGAAGTCCAAGCTCTTCAGCGTAGACTGGGGCATGAAGAAGAAGAAACCACCGAGGCTGGCTGATTAGCCGCTTCCCAGACCGATGGATGAGATGTCCACTGCAGTTACCTGAAGCGAGTCTTGCGTCTTAGTCTGGCATTCGCAACTTGCAAACAGCCCAGCAGGCTGCATCTCTGGAACCCTCCCGCAGCGTCTCTCCCCTGCCATCTCGGTGTAATCTTCGGACGAGAATGCGGCAAACTTGTTTATTCTGCCAGAAAGCTGGGTCAGAGCAGATCTGCAACACAGGCGCTCAGCCTGTATTGGTTATGCGAGATAACCGCCAGCATCTGTAACTAATGTGCAGCTACATCCAGATGAGTGACCACGGCATCACGTAAAGTACATCACCAGCCCCTTCCTAAGAAATCTACGCCCATCAGGTTCTGGAACACTCCGGCACCCAGCAAATAGCCTATGCCAGAATGTCGCTCCTGTTCACGCCGACCGACTTCATCCCTCTGCCGGCCGGGTCTAGCAGTGCACCAACCACAGATGAAACACCCCGAACCAACCGTCAGTCCATGAAGCATGCTCAAAAACCCTGCACCAAAACGTCGCCAAAGGCTTACACAGAAGTCTGGGTCGTACCTGATGCACACAACACAGCCGGCGACTGCGTCACTGACGGGCACTCCGAAGTCGGCATCAAGCTCGCAGAGGACAAAGCCCCGTCGTCATGAGAGCCCTTACTTGCAAGTTTTAGTGCCTCCCACCTTACCCGCTCTAGAACACTACACTAGCTGTCCTACACAATCGTGCAGGACTTTGGATTACTCTGGAATGCACAATTCGCGGACAACGGTCGCGTACTCTACAATGCTTGCCAATTTCGCTGCCTTCTTCGAGAGACCCTCCACGACCAAGTCTTGCTCGGCAAAGGCATGCTGACGATCACTGAAGACCCTCTCCACAAATGCAGGCAACAAAGGATTTTCAGCATATCGGTTCTCCGTTGTCTGTCCAAGATCCCCTAAGCTCGGAAAATTGTCAACAGAGTATCGACCACCCAAGGCTCCGGCTGCGCGAGTCGTGCAGGAAACTATCCTGGCACGAAAACCATGGCAGACCACTCGCCGACCAGGCACACTACGGACTGGACCTGGTCAAGGTTGGCTTCGCCTGAGATTTCAAGTAAGGCGACTGCTGCATAACACCGAATGCCCAGGACACTGCGGCCCAGCTGGCTGCACCACGGCTAACGCCGCAAGTGCTAGTTGCACTGCAAATGCGGGCCTGCCTCTGCAAAGACGCAGAGGCATGCTCTCACCCTCTACAACATATCGTCATCACCCGGCCAGCAGCCAGAAAGAATACCTAAACATAGAGTCCCGTCTCGATGGACACTGGCCCACAACCAGCGGGCTCGGCCTTCCCTGTTTTCTAGCACTCATTGCAGTTGAAATGCTCAGCATGACGGGAGCTGTCTCGGCAGCACCACACGAGAGGTCCGCTTCTCCAAAAAGAGATTGTTGCGGGACATGATCAAGAAGTGCAAAGGAGCCTTGGAGGCCCGGGCAAATGAGCAATATTTGCGGGTACCGTCACTGACAGATAGCGCTTGCAAAAGGCTGAAATCCTCGCGACCTCCTTCGGCCTACCACAAAGCCTACCAACGCCAAGACCAACCGCAGCCAACTGCAAGGCCGCATGTGACACACCAGCAAAGTACACGGTCTTAATTGCCCAAGTCTGGATAAAGCATCGGCTCTCCGCTACAAACCATACCGTAAAACACGCAAGCGAGAACACGAGTCCAGCAGGCAGTGATCCCTCCGAAACCTGGCACGCCAGTGCAGAACATCGATGCCTGGCCTTCTATGCGAGTACCACAGCACAAGATCCAAGTAGTCATGCAGGACTCATCCTGCCTCACTAGCCATGATTTGCAGCCAGGCCACACGATTTATCATACCCGCTCATGCACTAGCAACAAACCGGACCTGCTTGAAAGGAGGGCCGTATCGAAGACCCGACACCAGTGACGGACCTCCTGAGAACCGAGCCAGAAGCCATGCCGTGGAAGCTGCAGAAAGGCAGCGCGGGAACAATCTCAGGGTGAAAGAGCTCGCACACCCATGCCCATGCGAACAACCCTGGCACTCTTGTCGCATTCTTACCACCCGGAAAAGCCCAGGCACGAAAGACGCATTACTACGCGGTCGCCGACGCTTCAACGGGCGCATCACGCAGCACAACAACAAACCACAGCTGCCTCTACCTGGCCCAGCAGCCACTGCCTTCGCGCTCAGTGACATGTGGCACACACTCAAGGTGGGATATGGCCAGTGGTACCTCACGCGGTCAACATGAACCGCCCATGATGAACAGTGCTTCGCTGCAGAAGATGAATACGCACACAAACACACATACATGTAAAAAGATCGATGTCTGAAGGCAAAAGAGTGCCACATCATCATCGCCGGCCACGTCTGGACAGGTCGTTTCGTGGTATGGCGCTATCCTGTAATGCTGGCTGCCGACATGGAAGTCTGGACAGCGACACCCGGTAACCGTCATTACCAAAACCTTTTTCGTTTTCGCTATAACTTTGAAAACTTACAATGTAGCAAGTCCGTCGTCCCTCAGGAAACCACTTCCAGACAATGCCAAATACATTCCCGACAACTGCGTCATCTGCAGCCGAGAGTGCGGAGGCACCACCAGAAAGAAAAGCGTGCCGGTGACTACACCGTCGCCACTACCAGTACTATAAGCACACTCACACATCACACCGCAGTGTCCCGTTGCAACCGTGCGGTTGTGCTGCCAGGCGTCGTCAAGTTAGGAGACGGAGACTACGACGGGGATTTTATCCAGATATCAGCTTGGGTCGAATTACTGGAGTTCATGGAAAATACTCCCTCAGAGACGGACTTGCCAGCCCTCCGGAATCTTGCCAGCAACACATGCCTTCCGACTTTCCGTGAAAAATGCCACTACCCGTGTTCGGCCGCACTCAGGCAAGCCCGCGAGAAGATCCTCACATCCCTGCCGAAAAGGACGCCGTCTCCCCTCACTTCCATAGGCAGCTACAGGCACTTCTGCTCGACAATAGAAACAAAACCAATCCGAGGTCTAGCATGCGCAATGGCAGAACGCGCGCAAGACGCAGCATACAAGTCCTTGGACCCTGCCGGGGACGGCTCACTCCTTTTAGCAGCAAAGCTCGCTCAAGTGGCCCACATGGCGTACGATGTACCGAAGAAATACGACGCAGCACAAGTGCTAGAATTGGGCAGACAACTTCTTTCCGATGCCGGCATTGGCTGCCAAGCCCCTCGCTGCACCTCCGGTATTGTGGAAATGCTACAGCTGGAGCGCGTAAACCCAATCCCTTTGCTGCCATCCCCTGCAGACTTTCCTGGCAGACAAGCTATAGCTGGCATGGTTTGGTACCCCTACCAGGAAGTGAAACTGTCAGCAAGAGCGGGAGCTGTACTTAGGCGATGCCTACTCCAACAGAAGCCGGTCGACGACTTGGATATTGTCGCAAAGCGTGTCCTCCTCGAAGCAATAGGAGGGATCATCGCACATCGGCTGGCACACACAGCCGGCCCCATGTTGGAGCACGTGAAAGCAGGAAACGCGGAGCCCTTGATTGCTGCCGCATCATGCGAACGACGGCTGAAAGCAATCACCACCTGGTCGTACCTCCTGGACTGCCAGCTGAGGTACTGAAAACGAAGTCTGCCCGACAAGCGCACTGACAGCTGCACGTCCCCCAGCTCACTGTACATGCTGTTTCCACAGGGCAAATCCATGAACCACACCGTCGACCCAAACGAGTTCGGCAACACCACTACCTGCCGACGCCGAACTAGTCAAGGAAAAATAAGGACTCGGCATTGTCAGTGTATATTTGCGTCAAGAACAGACACCAATTCAGAGACTAACAACTACGGAAACCCTGCTCGAAAGTCTCCCAGCGACCCTCCGTGCTGTAGCGCATTGCTCAAAACAAAACAAGAACAGCCTGACTCCACCCTCGACCCTCCCGATGGCTTCAACGTGCCACCTGGTCTCTGTGCTCATGGCGACATCTGGCGAAAAGCTGACTGAGCTGATAGTATCGGAAGAAAGCCACACAGTCCGACAGATCAAAGTGCACCTCGAGCAGCAGCTCGGATTCCCGCGCTACCAACAACGATTGCTCGTTCGCACGCCAAACCATGAACTCCCAGAAGCGTACGTCCTGCACGCCGGCATCAAACAGATATCCGTCGTACTAATCCCCTACATCACGGTGTCTGAAGAGCAAGAAACCGAGATGCTGAACGCAATCTACCACAGCTCGGCGAACGCCGTCGAGACCATCCTCCGACGACCCCAGCATCCAGACTCGTCCGCAGGGGAACTATGTCCATGTTGCGGCACGGACCAGCTAACAGCGCTGGAACTAGCAGCGAGGCGCAACAAGCCAGACATCGTGAAAATACTGCTGGAAGCCAGAGCAGACGTTACACAACGCGGCAACTGTTTGTCCTTGCACGAAGCAGCCGCGAACAACGGCACCGACGTGGCAAAGCTCCTGCTACAGGCCGAAGCAGATGCGAACCTGAAGTGCCCAACAACAAGCAGCACGCCGCTCCTCGAAGCCACCGGCAGGTACCACTGGCAAGTCATGCAGACGCTCCTGAACGCAAGAGCCCAGCCAAACACGGCCGGCCCAGTCAACCGCACGCCCCTGCACTACGCCTGCACCCAGGCCGACGTACGGCCGGTACTGACGCTCATGCAGCACAACGCGAGCTTGGACGCCATCGATGACTGCGGCTACACACCTCTGACAGTAGCATTCTGGTCGGGACACGTGCAGATGCTCCAGGACTTAAGAAGCACGTTCGAGACGTCTCTGCTAGACTACAACGAATCAAACGAATCCGAAGACGCTTCCAACTCCGACCACGACGACGAGGACGAAACAGAGCCCGAGAACCTAGACGCCAAGATCGACAAGATACACGCAAGGGATCCACCACGTAACTGACGAACCTCAGGCCCAGAACACGAGGAAAGCACCCCGGGACAAGAGCAAGCTCCGAGCTTGGCTCACAGGAAAAATTAAAGAAGGATCCAGCACTTCCGCCTGTGAGTACAGCATTGACGCATGTCATCAACCCACAGTCGAGATGGGACACAACTGAACGAGGGAAGAAGAAAAGGCGCGACGGCCCTTCACCGCATGAAGCCAGCTGCAATGCCTGCTCGAAAGTCTCCCAACGACACGGCATGCAAGCTTCGCCCGCTCGCACATCACCAGAAGCAACTCATGGCTCCAGAGACTCCGAGTAGGTAGAATCGGGTCCATTGACCTGAGAGCCAGCCGGGGCGCCTAGCATACCTCGACCGATCCGTCATGCTGCGGGTTCGGAGCTGTGGCGGCCAGACAATCTGCGCCATCGACCCCGCCACCCGCACGAAGAAACGCGACCTCATCCTCGACGACCTAGCACGCACCGTGAGCATCCATCTACGCACCCCAGCAGACCGCATCAGCATTCACTACGCCGATGGGCGAGGGCCCCTGAGCCCAACCACGACATGGGCCGACTGCACGGACCTCACCGTACTAGGAGATATGGAACTACTCGCCGTCGCTCGACATTTCCAAGCAGGCGGAGACGAGAAGCTAGCCGTCGCCATAGAACTGGAAAGGCACGCCGACGTCTGCAGTCTGCTGGACAGCCTCGTGGATCCCAACATTGCCATCGCCGAATGCAAAGACAGCCAGCCCTGCAGTCCCCTGTGCTTTGCAGCGTACACCAACTTCGAGCATGTGCAGATTGCGGAGACGCTCGTCGCAGCCCAGGCCAATGTCGACGGCAAACACTTCGCCATCAGCCCTCTGCTGGCAGCATGCGAAAGTCGAAACACGAGAATGGCCACCTTCCTCATCCGAGCCCGGGCAGACGTGGATCGACAATCGTGGACCATGGAATCCCCACTGCTTGTTGCAGTGTCAATGAATTCGGCACCGCTAGTACGCCTACTCCTTCGACATCGTGCAAGCATCAATCAACAGGATCGCTACCAGCGCGGTCCCATGGAGCGCGCCTTTGAGCACAGGGCACCACGAGCAGCAACATGCCTCCTACGTGCAAACGCGAAGGTGCACGCCTACGCGGGCGCCAACAGCCTGCTCCACCAAGCCGCAAGGAGGGGCAGCACCACGTGGGTCAAACTGCTCGCCAGAGCGGGTTTGGCGCTTCGGAGCCAGGACGAACGAGGATGCCTACCAGTAGAAGTACGGCAGCGTTTGCCCACCTTCCAACAACGCTACCGGCTAAAGCGAAGCCTCTGCATCACGGCAACAGCCGATGGCGCCACTGCAGCAGCGAGTCGGCGCGGAGCCGCATGCGACTAAGACAAAAGCCGTCGTCATGCACGACATCCTGCGTGTACAGCGCCCGCCAACCAAAGCCGGAACTTACAAAAAGAAGCGAAGCCAGCCAGCCTCAAACCGGCCGACCTCTCACAAGACAAGCAACAAGAAGCAGCCTCAAGCCTCAGATTACATGCCCCCGCCAAAAGAGCCCTTCCTATAGCGCACCACTGCCAGACTCCTGCTCGAACAACCCATCCTACACGGCAGATCCCACCGTGAGGTCCGTCAGCGAGCCAGACCCTTCAGACTCCAGCAGCAGAAAACACAAAGCAAAAACACAGTTCACGCCTTCCGCCCCTGCAGGTGCAGACGTCATACAGCCCCCGAGCCACCGACGATAGGTCGACATGACAAACGACGACAGACAGGCGAGATCGCACACAAAACTCCAGACACGACACCGTCGCTCCAAGCACATGACACCAAAACACCAGGCAACCGGCTGGGAGATCGAGACCTCCAGCTAGAACTACCTGGCCACGAGGTGCCGCCTGACACTTGTGACGCCGACACCCGAGCCAGCGCCCAAGACCCACAACACCGCAAGCACATGCATACACAGCTCACAGCCAATCACAAAGGCCCCTGCAGCCGAGGAAGCTGGCTGTGTTTGTACGCATGCATTTTATGTAGGAAACCCAACTAGAAAAGCTTTCCAGGAGCTGGCAATCCTTATCCACGTCCATTTAATGAAGACAACCCACCTGAACCGGGCCTTCCGGGAGCTGGCAATCCTTGTCCACGTGCATTTCATGAACGAACACCACCTGGAGAAGCCTTCCGAGACCAGGCAGCTCCTATCCATGTGCATTTTCTGAAGGAGAACCACTAGACAAGTCTGCCGGAAGCTGGCAGTCGTTGTCCTCGCGCAGCTTATGGAGAGAGAACCACCTGGAGAAAGCTGCCAAGAGCTAGCAGTCCTTATCCACGTGCATTTTAGAAAGGAAACCACGTGGAGAAGCCTTCCGAGAGCTGGCAGTCCATATTTACATTCATTTTATGAAAGAAAACCACCTACAGAAGCCTTCCGCGAGCTGACGAACCTTATTCACGTGCATTTCATGAAGGAAAGAAAGCACCTGAAGAAGCCTCCCAACAGCTAGCTGTCTTTATCCACGTACATTCTATAAAAGAAAACCACGTGGAGAAGCCTTCCGGCAGCTGGCAGTCCTTATCCACGTGCATTTCATAAAGGACAACCACTTGAAAAAGCCTTCCAAAAGCTAGCAGTCCTTATCCAGGTGCAGCTTATGAAGGAAAACCGCCTGGAGAGGCTTTTCGGGAGCTGGACATCCTTATCCACGTGCATTTCTGTTGGAAACCCACCTGCAGAAGCAGTTCGCGAGCTGGAGATCCTTATCCACGTGCATTTCATGAGGAAAAACCACCTGGAGGGGCAGTTCGCGAGCTGAATATCCTTATCCACGTGCATTTTATGAAGGACAACCACCTGGAGAGGCTTTTCGCGAGCTCGAAATTGAAGGAAGACCACCTGAAGAAGCTTTTCACGAGCTGGAAATCTTGATCCACGTGCACTTTATGAAGGCAAACCACCTGGAGATGCTTTTCGCGAGCCGGAAATCCTTATCCACATGCACTTTATGAGGGAAAACCACCTGGAATCCTTGTCCACGTGCATTTTATGAAGGAGAACCACCTGGAATCCCTATTCACTTGCATTTTGTGAAGGAAAGCCACTTGGAATCCTTATCCACGTGCACTTTATGAAGGAAAACCACCTGGAATCCTTATCCACGTGCATTTTATGAAGGAAAACCACCTGGAATCCTTATCCACGTGCACTTTATGAAGGAACACCACATGATCCTTATCCACGTGCATTTTATGAAGGAAAACCACCTGGAACCCTTATTCACGTGCATTTTATGAAGGAAAACCACCTGGAATCCCTATCCACATGCATTTTATGAAGGAAAACCACCTGGAATCCTTATCCACGTGCATTTTATGAAGGGAAACCACATGGAATCCTTATTCACGTGCATTTTATGAAGGAAAACCACCTGGAATCCTTATCCACGTGCATTTTATGAAACAAAACCACCTGGAATCCTTATCCACGTGCATTTTATGAAGGAGAACCACCTGGAATCCTTACCCACGTGCATTTTATGAAGGAAAACCACCTGGAATCCTTATCCACGTGTATTTTATGAAGGAAAACCACCTGGAATCCTTATCCAGGTGCAGTTTATCAAGGAAAACCACCTGGAATCCTTATCCACGTGCATTTTACCAAGAAAAACCACCTGGAATCCTTATCCACGTGCAT